TAAAGAGCAAAGTTTAGGGGAATTACTTTGCATTTAATGTTTTTTTAATATAATTTTTATAATAAATTAAATGACATCATTTCATTAGGCTAAAAGTAAAACGATTTAAAAAATTATAAAATAAATAGAAAAATTAAACATTTTTCTATTAATTATCATGTCTAAAGAGCAAATTTTAGGAGAATTACTTTGCAGTTAATGTTTTTTTAATATAATTTTTATAATAAATTAAACGACATCATTTCATTAGGTTAAAAAATTAATAAAAAATTTTGCTTGAGCACTTTAGGGGCCATTAAGTACACCTAATAGTGTCGAGGCGTGCTTAATTGATCTGAGTGGTGCAAACTGCATTGAATTTCTACCTAGAGACTGATACAGGTAGAATGGCACCACCTAAAACCTAGATGCCACCTAGGCCCACTTTTTACAACACTGGTTGGCATCCTTGTTAGAAGAATAAATGTCCCCCATATTGTGACAGAAGTGAGACACAATCAGGGCCCAGACAGGTGGTTTTGACAAGATCAAACTCCAGGGATTGTTTTGACAGGTTCCTTGGAAACACATTTTGTAACAATAAGCTTCTTCTCTTGAGGCATCAGTTCAGGATCTTCCAAAGTTGTACTAGGTGCCTCAACAAAGAGGAGAAAATATAATAACAGAATAGAGTAAACACTCGTGTCAGAAGGTCTCACTATAGTGACAAACAACTGAAAGTAGACTACAACTACACTATTTGCCTTCAATCAAACATATTATGTGGACGATGTAAACTTCTATTACAATTTCAGCAAATGTCAAAATTCTGCGAAAGTAACATGTGTACTAAAGATTACCATAGTTAAAAATGATTACCTAGTTTAGCCATACAGCAAACCAGACTGTTCCCAGAGAACCAAAGGAGAAAAAGACAGATGGCCATCCAAACTTATGTATTAAGAAAGGTGAAAAAACCAGAGCAGTAACTGAGCCAAGATACATACTAAATAATAGTTACCATACTCTTTTGGAAACACGTTCTACAATGGAATTTTTGAAATAAACATAATCACAGAAAATTGAAGTTATAGTTGCCAAAAAATTAAAGAACCAACCTCACCAATTCCCATGAAAGCAAGAAAAACAAGTAGGAATGGCAACCCAATTTTGGCAGCAAAAGGACTAAGAACAGTAGCAATAGACCACCAAACTACGCCAAATGCCAGGACTGACTTGCCACCCACTGTGTATCAGCCCATATGCCACCAGCAATCTGTCACTGACGACCACAATCAGAGTAAATCCCAAAACAGTCTTCTCATTCAGATAAGAACTGGAAGTGATCTTAAAAGAAAACATTGAATTACCTGAGTAAGAACGTAACCCCAGAAGAAAGATGAATGTATCAAACCGACAGTAGTTGGACTCCAATTGAACTCTGCCGACATGGGCAGTATAGCAATGGTCATATTTACCAGAAAAACAAAATCTATTCAAAATTGATACAAGAAGAATTAACAAATTCCTTCATGGGAACCTAAATTAAGAACAAAAATGTAGCCGAAGCTTACTCTATCCGTATTACACAACAAAAATGCCGGAAAACACAAAATCACGATAACCCAACGTTTCGGGAACGGGTCACACCACGGGATCGAACCCTCCAAATCCTCCGCACTCAAAACTATATCTTCTAACCCATCTTTATACTTCACCAATTCCCGTATCGACTCCGGTATTTGTCTAACATCTGCGTATAGTTTCCCGCTCCTTTTCTTGCCCGAATTCCATACCGAAACTTAGAAAACATGGAACCAATTGTGGACCCGACCCGAAATTGGGTCCGAACAGGGGATGCTTTGCTCCCGGTGGAAATGTCGGGTGGGTTTTTGGGTTTGTAGAGAGAGTGGACATTAGCAGAGAAGAACAGAGCTCCGGCGTCCATGGCTACTGTTTTCCGTTCACCACTTCAGTCATTCAGTGACAGAAGGGTTGAAAGATTTTTTATAGGTTGTTTTGGAGAGAGAAAATGGACCCAACTTTATGGGGATTAGCGCCGGTTTTCTCACGTGGCCGCAATGGACTAACAGAAAAAAAAAAAAAAAAAAAAAAAAGAAAAAAAAAAGAAGAA